GAGAAGGTTGAGAAGCTTCATAGAGAACCGGAACAAAAATTGTAAAGGACTCACATTAGTGGCCGGTGAGATTGTGGGGTCATCACCGAAGCACATGCAAATAAACTCTTTACCAATCCTATTCAAATATATCTGATATTAACGTTACCTCTTATAACTCAGAGATGGATCTAATTTAAATTGGATTGGTCAAGAGGTTCCTTCCATGTGCTCCTAAACAATCACACCAACCGCATTTGTGAATTATTTTGTACTTCTTGCTCTGGTTCTCTATGAAGCTTCTCAATATTCTCTTGTTTGGCATACCTTTTGTGACGCGGGGCTCCTTGGGTGGCTTAACCAAATGGTTCAGTAGGGATCCAGTCCAGCATCCCACCCAAGCCATGGAGGGGGACTTATCGCCCTCCCCTTCCCCCTTCCTTTTCTGATTCCTACTTATTCTATTTCCCTTCTGTTTCTATTTATTTACTATTCTCCCCCTTGTCTATTCTATTTCTTTTTTATTCTACTACTAACCTATTATACCTATTAATCTCCGCGCTTGTTGTTTGCTTAGGTTAGGGGATTTTTTTTTTTTAGTTCAGAATTCTGCCGCCAACATTGTCCCCTTTTGAGAATCCGGCTGTAACTCATTCGAGGTGGTGAATATCTCTGTTGTTCCAGCACCTTTCAGCTGCTGCTGGCTCTTTCTTACACTTCCCAACAGGTCGCCGACCTTCCCTGTACCCTCCAGCAGGCCACCAGTCATCTTCCCCTTCCGAGTAGCCGCCAACCATGTTGCTTCCTTCGACCACCTTCCAGCAGCCCATTAGCCACTTCCAATGTGGTTTTTGCAGTCGTCAACCACCCCAACAACTTCCAGTTGCTGCCGACTCCTTCGTGCACCTCCCCAGACAGTCGCCGACCATCTTGCACCTCTCCAGCAGGCCGCCTGTCATCTCTAACCCCTTACAGCAGCCCACCATCATCTGCAGCTCCACCCTGGGCACCTTTTGACAGCCACCCGCACTTGCTGCCCCCTCTGACATCACTGCCTCCGCTGCCTTTCATCTTCTAACAGCCACTCGCACCTGCTGATCCCTCTGCTTGCAGTCACAGGTCGCAACCACCTTACCGCCGACGTCCACGGATGTTCTTTTTACGCCATAGCTGGATCTTGCTAGTCTTGTTTTCATTGTTGTTAGACTTGATTACACCTTGTTATCTTAATAATAATTGCTTCCGTCGTCGTTGGTTAACTCCTGTATCGTTTGATATCAATCTAGCCCAATCATAGTCTGATCCTAGGGTTCCCTATTGTTCGCTAATTTTTTTCTCTCTTTTCTTTTTTTTTTCCTTTTTTTTCTCTTTTTCTTTTTCTTTCTATTCTTCTTTTTTTTTTCTTCTTTTGCTGATTCCAAACCTTCAACCATGCTCCTGTGGAGATACCTGCCAGACCCCAATTGGGATAAAATACAACAAGAGATCTGTTGTCTACAACAGAGATTAGCAGATATGGATGATGGAACCCAGGGAGATTACCCTTAACCGCTATTTGGAGAGTCGAAGGGCGAAAAAAGACAAAGATTTAAAGCTGCTCCACAGAGAAGATATCAGTAGCACCACTTTGGAATTAAATATCAGAGGAGGCCAAGAGAGGAGCCCGCATTTGAAGGACACAAGGACTTTGGCATTAAAGTGGATTTGCCCGAGTTTGAGAGAGGTATGAATCTGGATGACCTGTCGACTGGCTACAAACAGTGGAATGAATCTTCGAATATAAGGACGTGCCAAAGAATAAACAGGTAAAATTGTTGCCATCAAGTTGAAGAAGAGTGCCTCATTTTAGTGGGAGAAGTTGCTGAGGCAGAGGAAAAGAGAAGACTTGATAAAATCTCTAAGTGGGAGAAGATGAGGAAATAACTGCCATGGAAATATTTCTCACCTCATTACCGCCAAAACATGTTTCTGAGGCTCCACCACTTGCAGCAACGAGATCTTTCAATGAAGGAATTCACACCGCAATTCGATTAGTTGCAGATAAAGTGTGAGTTGGTCAAGTCAGAGAAGCAGAAGATCGCCTGATACTTGCGAGGTCTGAAGCCCGTTATTAGCAATGTGGTACAACTACAACCCTACCAGTCGCTTTGAGATGTTCATACCTTAGCCTTAAAGGTGGAACGATAAAAAAAATTGAGCAAGTAGCAATCCTCATTCAAACAATACTCTTCAGTCAGGTAGCCAACTACAGTTAAAATGATCGATAAGGGTCTTTCTGGAGGAGCAAACAAGGCAGTAGTGGAAATGCTAGGCAGGAGCAGAGTGAGAATAAATAAGAGAAAGACGGCTTTTCCAATACAGTACCAGCCAGAAAGTGTTTCATGTGTCACAGTTACGACCACATAGCCTTCAGTTGTTCCACAAGCAGAATAGTCACATTCACAGACCAGGGCGCCATTGAGGAGGTGGACAAGCGGTCAGAGGATAGCCCAAAGGAGGAGCTTCGGCTCCAGAGGAACGGGGGAGAATTGCTAGTCATACGGAGGATTTTGCAGTCAGAGTCAAAACGAGAACAATCTTGGTTGAGACACATCTTTCGCTCCAAGTGCACGGTAAAAGACAAGGTTTGCAGCTTAATCATAGACAATGAGAGTTGTGAAAATGTGGTGTCCGCACTGATGATGAAGAAATTGGGATTGACCATGTAGAAACACCCCCAGTTCTATTCCCTTACTTGGCTGAAGAAAAGGAACAAGATATGTGTGGATCAATCATGCCTAATAGAATTCTCAATTAGGAATCAACTACAAGAGCAAGTATGGTGGGATGTAGTTCCAGTGGGTGTCTGTCACATTATGTTGGGTAGGCCTTGATAGTTCGATCGCATGACTCGGCACAACGGCTTCAAGAACACTTATTCCTTTAAGAATGATGAAAAATACATTGTGTTATTACCTGTTAAGGATGCAAGAGAAGGTGGAGATACAGAGGAAGCATTAATTCTATGGGCCACCTTGCTGCAGTCAGTTTGAGATGCCTCAATGGCATTGGCATTAGTCCTCTTAGAGGGAGCTGAGGAGGAGAGTGAGATACTAGCACTACTACAAATACTACTACATGACTTCCAAAATGTGATGACCGACAACCTTTCGAAGAGATTACCACCACGGAGAGACATTCAACATGTCATAGATCTCATACATCGATCAGTGTTGTCGAATCGATCTGCTTACAGATTTAGACCTACGGAGTACGAGGAGTTACAACGACAAGTGCAAGATCTCGTCGCAAGGAGGCTAGTTAGAGAGAGCACCAGTTCGTGTGTTGTTTCTGTCTTGATGGTGCCAAAGAAGGATGGGTTGTAGCGGATATACATCAACAACAGGGCCATCATCAAAATCACCATCAAGTACTTGTTTTTCATACCTCGCCTGGATGATCTCTTGCACCAGTTACACGGAGCTAGCATTTTTTCCAAGACAGACTTGTCCAGTGGTTACCACCATATACGGATGAGGCCACGGGATGAGTGGAAAACAACTTTCAAGACACGACATGGTTTATACAAGTGGACGGTTATACCCTTCGACTTGGCAAACACACTGAGTACTTTTATGAGATTAATGAATAAAGTATTATGGGCCCATATCAGAAAGTTTGTGGTGGTATACTTTGACGATATTATGATATACAACCGCTCTGAAGAGGTTCACTTACAACACCTGAGGGAAGTGTTTGAGGTACTGCAACCAGAAAAACTAGATGTCATCAAAAGAAGTGTCATTTCATGATGGACCAGATATGTTTTTTGGATTATATTATGTTTAGAGCAGATATTCATATGAACCCCACAAAGATCGAGACCATCATAAGTTGGCTCGCACCACAGTTGTTCACCAAGCTGAGGCAGTTTCTGGGGTTAGCATCGTTTTACAATCGGTTCATCAAAAACTTTTGCATTATCACTGCCCCGCTAACAGACCTTTTTAAAGGGAAACAACTCACTTGGACAACTGCCGCTTAGACCAACTTTGACACACTAAAGCAGAAGGTGACTCAGGTACCAGTTCTAGCATTAATATATTTCAACCAACTATTCGAGGTAGAATGTGATACATCTAGCGTGGTGATTGGGGCAGTGCTAAGCAGGGGGGGTCAGCCCATTGCCTAAGAAGTACTCAAAATAAGGCAATGAGTTTTATGTCATTGTAAGAGCTCAGACAACTGAATGGCTGACACGCCACCTGGGTGGAGTTTCTAGCACCATTCTAGTTCGTACTTAAGCACAAGGCGGGAGCCTAGAACTGTGTAGCAAATGCACGAGTCGTCATCACTTGTTGATCACGTCGATGAAGATTTGAGTTGTTGGTTTTGAGGAAGTAAAAGACTTATATGAAGTAGATGGGGACTTTAAATAAATCTAGGAGCAATGCTACTTGTTCTACTAAAGTTGTGCATTCTTAGATGCTCGCTGAGAGAGGTCATTGTTCAAAAGAGCCACAGTGGGGGTTGACATGATATTTTGGCAGGGACAAGACTCTCACTCTCGTGAGGGAGCATTTATTTTGGGCCCGACTGATGAGAGATGTGGAGTGACACATTAGACAGTGCAGGATTTGTCATATGGCAAAGATAAGAGGGCAGAATGCTTGGTTGTATAGTTCCATTACCAACACCAGAGGCACCATGACTACCAACACCAGAGGCACCATGACTGGATGTTAGCATGGATTTTGTGGTGGGTCTTCCGAGGATGAAGAGGAACAAGGACTTTGTGATGGTTGTGGTGGTAGGCATGTAACAACCCCTTCAAGGAAAGAAACAGAATTAAACTTTAAAGAAGACCCAGAAATTCTTCTTTTTCCAAACCTAGATTGAATGAAGCGAAACAGAAAAAACAAAGCGCGAAGATCCTATCTAACAGCTGATATTAAGTTCACAGAACCAAAGATGACGTCATTAACTACCAAATTGAAGAACCAATTAAGAAAATGGAGCAGAGGGTTTGAGCGGAAGCGTACCCGAGAAGGAGGACGAGGGAAAAGAGAATGGAGCTGGTGGAAACCCCAGAAAAGAGGTGCGGAGAAGAAACGATGTTCGACCGGAGATCATTGAGAGAGCAAGTGGGCTTCTTTTATCTACACTAAACTTGTTTCCTGCAAGCAGTGACAGAGAAGCAATTGGAGCCAGGGAAATCGCCATAGCCTTCTCTCTTCCTCCACTTTCCAATGCTTCTTTCAGGCCACGGCAGGAAGTAGGTTTGCAGTCTGAGCACCTAATTATTTTTCGCAGTGTTGAGACCGTCCGGCGCCATGTCCGCTTATAGAAGAAGTGGAGAGATAAGGTAGCTGGCAGGAAGGCTTCCCCACGAGGGATAGTATAGACCTTTTAGCAGTACTAGTTTAATTTGACAGGTACCACCCAATTCATATATACTTATATACATAACACCTTGAAATTACCAACCAATTTCTATGTACATATATTATCAAATACCTAAAGTTTATATATATATATATATATATATATATGTGTGTGTGTGTGTGTGTGTGTGTGTGTGTGTGTAGATATATATATACATACATATATATTACATACATGAATTCAAATATGTTCGCCAGATGCGCATAAAAATTAGAGTACGAGAAGAAGTGAGAGAGGGGGGAATAGAGAAAATAATAGTGCATTATAGAACGATAAAATCAAATAAACTTTATTCATAAAATGAGCCTCCTATTTATAAGAATGGGGGTTTTATAATTATATTTTGCAGCTCTAGAATATATGGATACAGAGGGGGTAGTCAATACATAGATTTAATGTTGGGTGTCTGAAATAGCATCCGTCTGAATAGTGTTGAAAGCCAACTAAGGGGTCTAGCCAAATGGAATCAGGAGCATAAAATGTAGTTCAATCGAATGTGGCAGGGAGCCTATGGACTGAAACAATTGCTAGTTGACCCAAGGAAGGTAGTGGAGTCAAGCTTGTCTGAGGATTATCTTCCCTCCGGCATGTCAGCTCCACCCGACTAGATATGAGATTCTGGGTTGTCTCTGGCGAATCCTAGGGCACAACGTCGCCTCTTCTGTGGTTGTCCGATCACTTCAAGATTCGTGCTACATATCTTTTATGCGTGAGTGCACACACGCACACAATATATAGGAATTGAAAAGCATGGATGTAAATATTTCAAAATATAACATAAAAATGTTTTTAAATTTGATGTTTTTATTATTTAAACATAAGTTAAATTTCTAGATATTTGAAAATAAAGAAGGAAAAAAAAAAGTTTAATCATTTACCGAATGTTCCTTCCTTCTTATTTGTATGTTTTAGTTGTTATGAATGTGTCATTCATTATAAGGTATGATTATATAAATTCAAAGGTCTAATAGTCATGTTATTAAAAAAATTAAAATTAAACATATTGAAAATAAATTAGTTTCTTAATTAAATAACATGTAAATAATGTGATAGACATTAAAAGAGTTTTAAATAATTAAAAATTAAATAAGAAAATAAAAATAATATCTAAAATAGTCTTTCTACACAAATAATTTCGAAAAAATATTGCATCAGGATTCCGCACGTAGAGTTACGTGCAGAATCCAATGAAATCACGCCACGTGGCGGTGATTGAAAAATAAAATAAAATCTGTCTGGTAACACAACAGAATATTCCTCCCGTATTATTTATGTGTTATTGTGTGTTATTGTGTGTTATTCAAGTGTTATTGATGTGTTATAGTGTTATTATAACACCATGTTAATTCCCAGAACACAATAACACCTGAAAAACAAACAATAACATCTGAATAATACGGAATAACGCGGGAAATATTCCCCTATGTTACCAGACCGATTTTTTTTTGCTGTCACCTCTACGTGACGTGAATTCATTGGACTCAGCACATAACTCTAAGTGTGGAATCCAGATGCAACATTTTTTCAATACCTTCTTTTATCATTCTCATGGTACAAAAGTTTCTAGATACAACCCAGTTCTAACTTAAAAATCAATAAATAAAGTTTCCAAGTGTCGTTATTTAAAATTAGAATTAAATCCGGATATTCTCTTGAATTTATAATATGCACATAAAATTAAATTATAAGTTTTAAATTTTGGGACATTTACACACCTACTGCCCAATTCATATATATTTACAAACATAACCCAAAAAGTTTGCTATTTTACATTTATACCACATAAATCTTTCATATAACATAAAAAAATATCACCATTTTGACATTCAAAAAGTGAAATGCACATTTTTTGCATAGCTCAGATGGTATGTATATCAAAATTGAAGTTTAGGTGTTAGATATGTAAATAAATAAGAATTCAATGGTACTTATGTAAATCTTTCTTAAATTTTAGCTCTTAACTTTGGGGCAACCTTTAGAATTTATATATACTTAAGCGAACCAAAGACAAAAATTTAATGTTGGTAAAAGCGCAATCAAATGGAGTCATGAAATTTATAAATGCGGATCGAAGTTGGAGAAAATATTTCGTCCGGACAGCCATGTAGCCATACACTTCATCGGCGGGCGACATGGCCGCTGGTGGTTGGCCGTCCGGACGTACGGACATCCGGACAGAATATTTTTTCTCACAGTTGACAATATCATATATTGGTGGAATTGCATGCTACTTAAAAAAAAAAAGTATCATGCAAATTTGTTGTTTAAAATTTATTTTCAGAGATTAGGATTTAAGAAAATCACACCAAAAAAAAAATATTGATAAACAATTTATGGGATTACATGAACCAAATTAACTTTATAAGTTATTTTAAGTCATTAAAATTAATTCAAATTTAATTTAAAAGATAATATTTTTTTTAACTTGGATAATAATAGTGTAATTATGCTTGGTTGTATTAAGACTGATTTGAACATAATAATGAAGAATATTTAACTTTGATCTGTCATCAATAAATTTTCATCATGAGCAAAAAACATTCCAAATTCAAATTTAAGACGGTAGAGCCAACAAATTTATAATCAAGCTAAGCATATCAACTAGACAAATCCTATGATGTCGAGAGTGATCTAATTCGAGTCCAAGTGAGCCCAAATCAAACAATAGAAGTGTAGTTGAAGATTTTGTTGTATCAATTGGAAAACCAAATGATCTTAGCGTTTGGCAGGGTTATATTCAAATCAAGAGTCTCGACGAGAGGAATCCAACAACACAAAGATCATTCAATTTTGTTGTCATCAAGACACTTAAATTTTAAAAGAACTGCTTGTGATCAAGGGAACTAATGTGGACCGTCTGATGAAGTATTTTGAGAGATTGTTCAAATTTATTAAAATGCCCCTTAACAAAACTATAAATAAACCTCCATTCTCAATTGAAGAATGGAGAAGAAGATAAGATTGAGTTGACTACTAAAGCTTAATTCTTGAGTTCCAGTAGTTGTTGTCGAGCGCTCGATATTACAGCCGGCCACCAGAGTTTGCCACCGACCACCAAAGCTTGCTATAACCACTGGAGGGCGCCATTGACCGCTAGTTGTTATCCACCATTACTAACTATGATTTTGATAGCCCAACTACAACCATTATAACCACCAACTATAGCTTTTGTGGCAAACAACAATTGTTATAACTTTCAACATGACTATTATAATCAGACTACAAAATTTAATAGCCTTAGTTACCTTTAACAGTTATATATATTTGGTTATTTTAAAGTAGTTATGATTTCAACATCATCTTGTAATCTCATCTTTTATAATCCAAGAGAAGATTGGAAATATGTACTCCTGATTATATAAAGATTATTTCAACCAAGCTAAGCCACGTGACATTTTCCCCTTCTAGGGTTTTTTCACATAAAAAATATGGTGCCTCGTCCCATAACTTTTTTTTAATCAGCTTGTGTGTGATGGATATTCATATAATGCTATGATATTAAATTATCATTCTATTGTTGAGAATTTTCTAGTACACAATAGTTTGCTCTGTCAGTGGGAATCACAATCCCACCATTCTAAAGAACAATCCCAAAATGTAACTCATGATGAGCTATGACGTCTTGTTCAAGAAGAATTCTCTCTAAGGGATAAAAGACATTTTCTTATTTAGCATAGTTTCTAGAAGTCTTCACATTTACCCGAGATATTCCTTCACTTTATATCCAATGGAATTCAAGCTTCTAAATATTGATTCTTTAGAACCATTATGCATATATAACTAGCCTCTAATGTGCTCATCTATCAAGTTTTGTCTACCATACTTAGAAGTCAAGCATGTACTTGGTTCTATTCCCCCACAAAAGGGGTCATTCATACTTTTGATTATCTTGCCAAGTTCTTTGTAGAGCAATTCATAACAAATCCAATGATTATAAAAAAACTCTTCTCATCTTATTCAAATTTATTAAAATGAAGGAGAGTCGCTTAAATAATACTTTCAAAGATTCTCCATTGAAGCTCGTCAAGTTTGATAAATGGATCCAGAGTTTGTAATAGACATCTTCCTGGGAGAGTAACATCCCAGTCCTTCTACTCATTCTTAATGCGAGAGAACATTCACTCCTATAGACCTCATCCATATAGTTGAAGCTCAAATAATTTTCGATAAAGTTATTACTGCACTTCAAATTAATTTAAATAATATTCAAACAAATACAAACACACTTTTAGTGAAATTTTACAAGCCTCTTAAAAAGAATGCAAGTAAATATAACAATCAAAATTTATCATCATAATCAATACAAGTTATCTAATCATACTCCACTAAACACATCCAAGGGTAATATTTTTATGTAGATTCTAAATTATGAAGACCTTAAGTGACCAATACCACTAAAAAATCCAAACTGTTGAAACCAATTTCAATATTGTCCATTTTTACCTCTCAAAAGGTCATTCAACAGAGTGATGCACTAACTAAAAAAAAAATGAATGTTTAATATGCCAAAGTCACCTGGTTCATTACTTACATGAACAACGCAAAGAAGATCCAAAGAGTCATGACAAAAAGATTATTGAAATTATTGAATATGAATAACTACAACATATGCCATATCTACAAAAGATTATTTGAACTTATATGTTGAGTATCACTGAAATAACCCATGAAAGTTTCTTATTTTATTTTCTAAGAATATTTTATTTTTTTTATTTTTAGAGATAAAATTTATCATTTAAGTAATTTGTTTATTATCAGTGAACCTTTTTATAAATAACACTATTTATTATAAGCCCCTTGAGAATAAGAGTTAGACACGATTTCCACTTACACCCCTAAAAATATGCCCATGAGGCAGTATTGATTAAAAGCTAATAGTAGACATCAACATTACTAACAAGATCGCTTAAGAGCAAGTGATAGACACACTCTCCACTTATAAACTTGAAAGACAT